GAAAAGGAAGAGGAAGAGGAAGAAGAGGAATTGAAAGAAGAGGAGGAGGAGGAAGAGGTAGATGAAAAGAGGAGGAAGGGGAGGAGGAGTAGGAAGAAGAAAGGAGGAGGAGGAGGAGGAGGAGGAGGAGGAGGAGGAGGAGGTGGACGAGGAGGAAGAGGAGGAAAAGGAAGAGGAAGAGGAGGAGGAAGAGGAAGATGAAAAAGAGGAGGAAGAGGAGGAGGAGGAGGAGGACAAGTAGGAGGAAGAGGAGAAGGAAGAGGAAGAGGAAGGGGAAGAGGAGGAGGAGGAGAAAGAGGAAGAGAAAGAGGAGGAGGAGAAGGAGGAGGAGGAAGAGAAAGAGGAGAAGGAGGAGGAGGAGGAGGAGGAGGAGGAGAAGGAGGAGAAAGAGGAAGAGAAAGAAGAGGAGGAGGAGGAAGAGAAAGAGGAGAAGGAGGAGGAATAGGAGGGGGGGAGGAGGAGGAGAAAGAGGAGGATATAAGAAAGAGGAGAAGGAGGAGGAGGAGAAGAAGGAAGAGAAAGAGGAGGAGGAGGAGGAAGAGAAATAGGAGGAATATGAGGGGGGGAGGAGGAGGAGGAGGAAAAGGAAAAGGAGGAGGAGGTGGGGTGGAGAAGAACAAGGAGGAGTAGTAGAGAAGTGAAATGGTCTTGGGCATAGAGCATGAGAGAAGGAAGGGGGGGGTGACAACTATATGCAAGAGGGGGGGAAATACATTATCTAAAATGCTCAGACAGCTAGGCCTCAGTCTAAAGTATCATTAGCTGTAAAACCAGTAAGTCTTCTGAAAAAACTCCAGACTCCAGTGACAGCATTCTTACCTTCAGTTCCTGAGCTAGATCGACTGGCTTGTCCACCTGGAACCAGGCTGGGTCAACAAGCCTAGGGGTCAGAGTTGGGAACAGAGGGGGCTGAGCCATAGTGCCAACACAGCAGGAAATCTTCTTTTTGTTTCTGTTGTTTTCTTCAATGGATAGTAGAAGGATCCCAAGCGTACTTCTGGCTTGTACTGAGACTAGAAAGCTCTGCAAAATCCTCTGCTGTCAGATTGAAGTCCAGTTGGATATTCTCAGTTATGTGGCTGGTGTTGGTGGATTTGGGCAACACACCTGTGGTGGAAATGTATCAAAAACATATCACTCTATTACCTCTAAAAAATGCTTTCTTTTACAAAAATCATAAAGAATTAAAGCTGATAAAGACAATGACACACCTTCATTTCAAATCACTTAATCTAAATATTCATAATATAACAAAATCAAACAAGGCACTCACTGACACCCTGCTGGGTAGCCCAACGCAACAGGACTTGGGCAGGAGATCGAGACAACCTGCTTGCTATGCGTAGCACCCTGGGATCCTGCCGGAGTGGGCTCACCTCTACAGTTGTCCCGAGGGAGGAGTAAGCCTGCAGGTGGATGCCCTTGAGATCACAAAACTTTTTCAAGCCCTTCTGGAGGTAATGAGGATGATATTCAACCTACAAGGAACAAACAAATGCATGTAATCAATACTTGATTATCTTTGTATAAACATATGTGTGTGTATATATGCATCTGTATGAGAGAGAGAGAGAGAGAGAGAGAGAGAGAGAGAGAGAGTGAGTGTGTGTGTATGTGTGTGTGTATGTGTGTATTTATTTATGTGTGTATGTATGTGTGTATCTGTATGTGCGTGTGTGAACGCAAAATTTCCCAAAGATTATCTCCATACCTGATTTACATGCGGTACAACTGAAGCAGTTTTGAGTAAATCCTCCAGGTGGCCCACAGTGTAGTTTGAAACTCCAATGGCACGTACTTTTCCACTCTTGTGGATGCTCTCCAAGGCCTTCCAACTCTGCCCTCTTAGATGCTGATTCAAGGCATCATCTGACTGCAATAGGAAAATATTTTGTTTTTCTTGGTTTCTTTTTGTATCTCCTTATTTTTTTCTACAACCTCAGGTAAGAAATTGGATAAATATTTAAGACATAACCTATATCATATGGTTACTAGCCTTTAGCTTCTGCACTCCAGGCCAGTGGATAAGATAGAGGTCTAGGTAGGTCAGCTGCAGGTTACTCAGACTCAACTCAAATGCTTGTAAACTTCTTTCAAACCCGTGATCCTGAGGACCTGGTGACAAGTAAGAAAAGTAACTTAAGAAGGCATCACATTTATCCCATGCTGCTGGGAAAATATAGCATTCACTGTTGTATTAAGTTTGCAGGAAAAATGTTTTTTCTAATTAATGTTATCAATACTGATGCTGTTATTGTTATAGACATTGTAATTATTATAATGTTACTGACATTACTATCAATAATATCAGATACCAAAAGATATTCCCAAAAATCAAGGAAAAGGTTAAACACATCATATAGGTAGTACACGTAACTGGCTTATTGGTGACTTAGTACATGTAGAGCCATCTCCGTTTAAAGGCAATTAACCTATTCGCGATGGGGGAAAATGAACAAAAAAATGGGGAAAATGCTGTGCTCATTTTTTATATTTTCACCTTTCTTTGAATTGTCAGGAAAATGTATTTTTTACTAGTGCTATGAATATCGATGGTTATTTTTATTATAAACATTATAATTACTATAATGTTATTAAAAAAAGTAATAGCAAAATAAGATAACATAAAAATATTTTCGTAAATTAAAGAAGAGGGTGAACGGGTGAGACAGGCTCATTGGCGCATTGGTGTTTTAGTACAAGTGTAGCCATGTATGTGTAAAAACAATTAAACAAGTAAACTCACAGTGGGCATGTCATGTATACGTGACAGCCTGTCGCAAATGGGTTAATAAACTAAACTCACAGAGGGTATAGCATGAACACACATGTCATCCCAGGTAGCTTTGTGCTGAACCATACATACAGTTATGAAAGGAATGATGATATATACTTAAGAGCTCAAGCTCAGTTAATCTCTACAACACATGGAGTACAGGGGGAGAGGATAGGGGGGGTGGGGGGTGGGGAGAGTAGAGAGGAGAGAGAGGAGAGAGAGGAGAGCAAGAGAGCGAGAGAGAGAGATAGAGAGAGCAAGAGAGGAAGGGAGAGAGAGAGAGAGAGAGAGAGAGAGAGAGAGATGAGAGAGAAGAGAGGAGAGTAGAGGAGGAGAGACGACAGAGGGAAAGGGAGAGAGACAGAGCGAGAGAGGGAGAGAGAAAGAGAAAGAGAAAGAGAAGAGAAAGAGAAAGAGAAAAAACAGAAAAACAGAAAGACAGAAAGACAGAAAGAGAGAAAGAGAGAAAAAGTAGGAAAAAGAGAAAAAAGAGAAGAAAAAGAGAAAGCGAACAGAGAAAGAGAAAGAGAAAGAGAAAGAGAAAGAGATAAGATAAAGAGAAAGAGAAAGAGAAAGAGAAAGAGAAAAGAGAAAAGAGAAAAGAGAAAAGAGAAAAGAGAAAAGAGAAAAGAGAAAAGAGAAAAGAGAAAGAGAAAAGAGAAAAGAGAAAGAGAAAAGAGAAAATGAGAAAAAGAGAAAAAGGAGAAAAGAGAAAAGAGAAAAGAAACGAGAAAAGAGGAAAAGTAGAAAAGAGTAAAAGAGAAAAGAGAAAAAGGAAAAGAGGAAAAGAGAAAAGAGAAAAAGAGAAAAGAGAAAGAGGAAAAAAGAAAAAAGAGAAAAGAAGACAAAAGAGAAAAAGAGAAAAGAGAAAAGAGAAAAAAAGAAAAGAGAAAAGAGAAAAGAGAAAAGAGAAAAGAGAATAAGGAGTGAAAAGGAGAAAGAGAAAAGAGAAAAGATAAAAAGAGAAAAGAGAAAAGGAGAAAAGAGAAAAGATAATAAAAGAAAGGAGAAAGAGAAAGAGAGAGGAGCAGAGAGAGAGAGAAGAGAGAGAGAGAGAAGGAGAGAGTAGTAAAGAGAGAGAGAACTAGAAGGATGAAAGAGAAAGAGAAAGAGAAAGAAAGAGAGAGATAGATGAGAGAGAGAGAGAGAGAGAGGAGAGAGGATAGAGAAAAGAGAGCATGATAGAAAGATAGCAGAATACGGAGGAAAGAGTATAGAGAGAAGGAGAGAAAGAGATAGAGAGAAGGAGAGGAAAGAGATAGAGATATGAGATGAGAAATAGAGTATAGATGAAGAAGGAAGAAAAAGAGTATATATATAGAATGATAGAAAGAGATAGAGAGAATGGAGATAAATGCTAGATAGATAATGATCAAAGAGAGATATAGAAGGATATAAAAGTGAGATAGGCGATAGATAGGAGAGAAATATGAGAGTAGAGAGAAGGAGAGAAATGAGATATATAGATAAGGAGAGAAATAGATATAGAGATATTAGGAGGTTGTAAAATGATAAGATATAGATAGAGAAATGAGATAAAGATAGTATATATATATGACATGGATAGAAACGTAGAGAGATATAAGTGAGTATGAAAGGATAGATAGAGTATGTATATGATATAAATATAGATATATTATATGATAAGGATATGAAAGAGATATATAGATAAGGAAGATAAAGAGATGATAGATATATAGATCATATAGAGTATATATATATATACGATATATTTATAGATAAGGATATAAAATAGATATATAGATATATATAGAAGTAGATATATATAATTATATAAACATATATATATGAGAAATGAATATAAAACATATGATATATAGAATGAGATAAAGCATAGATATCTATCATAATGAATATATCTAGATAATAAGATGAGATATATATATATATATTAAGGAGAGCTAGATATATATATATATATATATAAGATATATAATATTATATATATATATATATATATAATGAGATAAATAATATATATATATAATGATATAAATATATATATATATATATTAGATATATAATGATATAAATATATATATATATATACATATATATAATGAATTAAATATTATATATAGATATAATGATATAAAGATATATATATATATATAAGTGAGATTAAATGATACTATATAATATAGATTTATAGTAGAGATATATAGAGAGATATACTATATATAATGAGATATAAGAGCGATATACTATATATATATAGTATATATATATATATATATATAATGAGAGTAAATATATGCTTATAGAGATGATAATATATATATATATAGATTATACACTATATAGAGATATTAATGATATAAAATAGATATATATATAGAATGATATAAAGAGAGATGATAGATATAGAATGTAGAGAAAATCGATGAGATATAGAGAATGAGAGAAAAATATAGATGAGAGATAGATTATAGTAATATAGATATATATAAAGTAGAGATATAATGATGATGAAAGAGAGATAGAGAGATGTAGAGAGAGTAGATAATGGATATAAATATATATAGAGGATAGAAGGAGTAGGAAAGTATATAGATAGATAAGGATTATAAATAGTATAGATATATATATATATTGATAGTAGAGTAATAATGAGATAAATATATATAATAATAGAATGATAATAAAATAAGATATAGAGATAATGAGAGAAATAGAATATAATAGATAAGGATATAAAATCATATAGATATATGAATGATAGAAATAGTTAGATATATATAATGGAGATAAATATATATATGTAATATTAATGATATAAATATATATATATACTGATATAAAATATATATATATACATAATGTATTACAAAATATATATACATAATGATATAAATATATATATATACATAATGATATAAATATATCTCTATATATCTAATGATATAAATATATCCTATATATATAATGATATAAATACCCCTATATATTATATAATGATATGACTATATATATATATAATGAATAAGAAATATATATAGATATAAGGATATAAAGATATATATATATAATGATATAAATATAATTATATAATGATATAAATATATATCGAAAATATGAATGATATAAAGAGAGAGAGTAAATATGAGAATGAGATAAAGATATAGAATATATAGAAGGATATACAATATATATATAA